AATAAAGTAAAAATGACTAAAATAACCTTACTAGTATGTGTGATATAAAGGTAATGACATTTGTGTAATATATTGTAAGTTGTAAGAGTATTAGTAATGCTAGGTAGATAATACAATTACTAAAAAAGAAAATGAATATTTTGTTATTAGACGGACTAAAATGAAAAAATAGATACTTTGTTATGAGACGGAGGAAGTATAATAAATGAAAAATAAAAATTTAATTTGATTTTTTGGGAAAAAAAAAATTTAGAATAGTAAAATTAAAATTGTACAAGTAAACACACTTTAGATTATGGGTTTCTTCGTTCAATCAAATTTTTTTCTAACATGATATTTAATATATATATTTATATATAATACTTATATTTTATTTTTTTTAAAAGTCAGAGTATAAAATACTATTTTTTTTATGTCAATAACATAATTTTTCATACTTGACATAAGAAAAATATTTCAACTAAAATCCTATACAAACAAACTCGTTGTATTATTAGTTTTATTTATTTGGAGATTTAAAAAAAAAAAAAAAATTAATCAAGCTGTTTTGTAATTTTGTGCTTGATTTCATTTATCATTTTAGTACAATTTGGTCCTCCAATTAGAAAATTTTGACAGAAATAATTTTTCATCACCGGAATTGTTACACTGTTGCTGAGTAGGCTCGCTGATGCCCATTTGACCCGATCGGTCCATGCCATGTAAAAAGCAAGTGAATTATTTTCAAAGATAGGGTTTATATTATTACAAAAAAGATATAATATGTATAAACATATTTATATAATACTCCTATAAATTATATCAACAAAAAAATCAACAATACAATAAAAAAAAATTAATTTTATATTATCGATATGTTTCCTTATATCAAATATTAAAAACATCTCAAATTTAAAAAAAAAAAAAAAAAAAGGAGTTTGTATTTTATTAACTAATTAAGAGTATATTTCTTCAGCAAAGCTTTCCAAAATTTTACTATTTAGACATTGTGTTTTTTTTTTGAAAAAATATTTCTTTTTTCTCACAAAATATTTTATCAAACATTATTTTCATACCAAATTCAAATCATTTTTTTTTTTCAAACTCATAAAAAAACACACTCTAAATTATTGTTAGAAAACATCTAAACACTATTCATTCTATATTGAAAAAAATAATAATATACCTTCAAATATAAAGAAAAAAAAAATGGTGCAAACCAACACAACTATTTTTAATTTTAATCAACTATTTTGAAAAAAATAGTGTCAACGAGTTAACATAATTATTAAATAGGGGACTCAATTATTTAATTACTATTACTATTATAATTACAATTTTCTTTTTCTAAAAATTACAAAAATATCATCATACAGTGTAACAATTTATATTATATTAAAAAAATCACAATGTAATGTTATTATTTTATATGAATGTGCTAGGAAGTTCTACCTAATATGCGACTTTCTACGATCTCACCGGAAATCGTCATTTTTAGCTGAAAGTATATACAATATAATCTCACCGGAAATCGTCATTTTTTGCTGAGAGTATATAATATAAGTCTATTATAAATACAATTTAATCGATCGTCAAAAGAAGAATTAGGCCAAAAATTAAGTAGCTATCAAGTATTTTTTCAAATCCAAAAAAATAAAATAAAAATACAATGACTTTATTTAAGAGGTGAAAATTAGAGACATGAGCAAATAGAGGTTTTTTTTTAAAAAAAAAATAAAATTAAAATTAAAGTTTAAGAAAAAAAATAAATTTACTAAAGTTCGTCCTCATATTTGTACTATAAGCCATTGTATGAATTTTTATTTGGTCAGACTGAATATAAATAAAAATATTGCTTTATTTTTAAATGACCACTGCAATTGTTGTTAGAGTAGGCCTCATGCATGTGAGATTGCCATATCATATACTCCCTCCGTCCCACGTAACGTGTCTGCTACACTGTAGACACAGTATTTTAGGAGAAGTGTAATTAGTAGATAATTAAAAATGTATTAGTGAACATAATTATTCTATAATATAAATAATTATAAATTAAAATTAAGATAACTAATTAGTTTAATTAAAATTAAAAAAAATAAAATTAAAAAATTTAAAATGAGATTAAAGTGTATAATCAATTTCCAAAAAATGAAAGTGACATGGTATGTGGGACGGACAGAAACGGCAACGTGGACATGATATGTGGGACGGAGGGAGTATTATTTTTGTAATTAATTTTTTAAATATTTTTTATAATTATAATTAATCTTAATAATAATTAAATAATGAGGCCTTAAATAAGATTGTAATGAAAATTAAACGCAATGGTTACTACGTTGGATAAGGAAATCAACACCATGCCCACCATGCCCGCCGACACATATCCAATCAAATATCACATGTTTTGTTTTTTTTTTTTTTTTTCTGATAAAATATATATATATATATATATCATATGTTTTTATTAAAAATACATAGGTGTGTTGTATTAATATAATTTTTTTAATAAAAATTAATTTGTAACAGATATTGTGTAAAATAATATAATGTATTGTTAGTTCATATACTTGTATTATAATAACATAAGTTAAATGTTATTAGTGTTTGTATTGCTGTGTTGTCTCTCAATATATTATATATTAGGGTAAATTGTTTTTTTAGTCCCGTAACTGGACCCTCTTATCATTTTAGTCCCGTAAGTGGAGCATGTCGCAAACTAGTCCCATAAGTGAAAATTTTTTGCTATTTTAGTCCCCGCGTGGCTCGCCGGAGGTCACGTGTCTGCCAGGTGTCGCTGACTTGGCGGACACGTGGATTTTTTTATTTATTTTTTCATTCTTTTAATTTTTTTTTAAAACTTATTTTTAATTTATTTTTAATTTTATTTGTATTTTTTTTTATTTGGTCCAACTAAAAAAAATTAAAAAAAATTAAAAAAATGAAAAAAAAAAATAAATCCACGTGTCCGCCAGGTGTCGCTGACCTGGCGGGACACCTGGCGGACACGTCACCTCCGGCGAGCCACGCGGATATCTCCGGCGCCGTAGGACTAAAACAGCGAAAATGTTTCACTTATGGGACTAGTTTGCGACAGACTCCACTTATGGGACTAAAATGATAAAGGGGTCCAGTTACGGGACTAAAAAAACAGTTTACCCTATATATTATGTGAAATTATGTAATGTGCTATATTTATATTATATTAATATAATTTATGTATTATCTATTTTTATATGGTGTCTATTATGTCTTTCTTTACACGACTTGATGTTTGCAACTATTCCCTCCATTCCGGATATTTTGTCCGCTTTACTGTAGATACGAAAATTTAGAAGGAATATAATTAGTAAATAATTTTGTTTGTTTATTTGGGAATTGGATTTTAAATCCACTGTTCATCTCATTTTTCCCCAAAAAATATCAAATCAAACACCTATTTTTATTTTTTATATTATATTAAAAATCAATTTTACATTCAAAACATCGTATCAACGCCTATATTTATATCACATCATACAACTATTCAAATTCAAAATTTTTACTATTCAAATTCCAACTCAAAATCCAAACCCCCAAACAAACACACCAAAATGGGAGATGGGACGGAGAGAGTATAATAATTATCATATAATAAAAATAATTAAAAATGTATTAGTAAAAATAATTATCATATAATAAAAATAATTATAGATTAAGATTAAGATAATTAATTAGACAAATTAAAATTAAAAAAATTATAAATTAAGATTTTTAAAAATAAGATTAAAGTGTATAATTATTTTTTTTTAAAAAAATGATAAAATAAGTGGGATGAACGAAAATAGAAAAATGAACGTGGGAGATAAGACGGAGGAGTATCAGTTTTGCATTTTGCATTATGTATTATATTAATATATTTAATACATTGTTGTTTGTTTTTCTATCATGATTGTTTATGCTTATTATATTATATGATGTCATTAATGGCTGAATTCTTATATTTTCACAAAGTAACCGTTGCTAAAATTGAATGTACAAATTTATGATTTTTTAATTTTAATTTTTTTATTTTAAAAAATTATATAGCAAATGATCTAATATTTATGTAGTAAATTGAATGACGTCGTTGAATCAGTGTTTGGGATGGAACCTGAACTCATAATTTTACGATTATAAATCTGTCATCAAGCCATCCCATATGAGACATATCAATGTTATTTTTTTTATAATGTGAGAATTCGCAGCCACTTGAAAGTGTGCATTGGGTAAATCCCCAATCAAACCTAATACTCTGCAAACCAGGCCGGACAGCATATCAACGTTATTTTCATTCATAAATACATGGATGTTATTCAATATTTTAGATAGAAATATAGTACTCTCTGTCTCGATGCAAGATTGCTATTTGCTTTTTTTGCGTCATTATAATATTTGAATAATTTATTCTATAATTATTATATTTATATTATAAGAGATTAATAAATATTTTTTTATCTTTTTTGTTTTGATTGTACTGTATATTAATATAATAATTAATATTCAAATATTTATATGAAAAAAATAAAATAAAATATTAATACTTTTATAAATATGATATTAAAATATTATTAAAATTTAAAATTAAATAAAAATTTAAATTCCAATCAAAATCAAACTAACGATGTATAGTCGCTGGTGTATTTATTTTTTATTTTTAGTTCAAGATATGTATCTTACAAAATTATACTTGTTATGTAATATGTACACTGCAATATTTTTTATTTTAATATATTTTAAATAATTTATAATATTTCTAAAATAAAAAAATAATTATATTTTATCACATCACATCACGTTTATATTATACACTTAGTTGAAAAAAAAAATATGGGAAACAAAATATTAACTAAAAAGTATAAAAACAAAAACAATATACTGTTGAAGATCACATAGATTATAATACTACTGTAATATACAAATTTCCGTTTTGACTATTTTGCCCTTCCGCCTGTCTCTCTGTCTTCGTAGAGAGAGACGGTATATAAATGGGTGCGCAGTCCCTATCCCGGCTTCAATGGTGTTCCCTCGCGAATCAGACCTAAATTGTCACAAACTACTTGTACTGTCCGAATCCGATCCCGACGATCTGCGGTTCCCGCTGCAGATTGCTGCTGGATCGCCTTCCAGATATCATCGGACTTTTGCTTCTCCTCCTCTTCCTTCGTCTTCATAGCAATTTGTTTTCTTAGCTTCAATTGCTGCTTCGTTGGCTGGTTGCCCTGTGGGACTCCTTGCTGAGAATACGAAAGGTTTTTTTATTTCCTAATTTTACGCGATTTGTGCTGGTTAGGTTTAATTCCTCTTCTGGGAACCTGCATTGTGGTTGTGGTCTCTGATTTTTAAATTTTCTTTGTTTGATTTTCGGCGATGAGCGGTTATTGGGGTTTCTGATTTGGCTGTTATGGTTTTGAAGTCCAGGAATGGCGGCAGCGCCGGAGGGAGTTGCAAAGCTGTTGTACGTGGTGGTAGTAGAGGATGACGGCGACGGCGACGGATATGATGCGGTAGCCGCAGCGACTGCGGCGTGGAAGAAGGTGAATTCGTCTTCGTTTCGGTACACGCGGTCGCTGCTCCAGAGTACACTGCAGCTCATGGGTTGCAAGGCTCGTCATGCGTTCAAGGTTTGTTCTGCCTTTCCATTCAGATTTTTTCTTTAATGATTTAGTATGTTTTTTGTGCACTTTATTTTTTGTGGAAGATAGCACATCTGCCTTTGTTCTGTTCATACTCTTTTTCTTAAGATTGGATACGGTGGCCGTGCTTTGCGTTCTCTGTGTTTGTTATTTCCATGGTTATTTTGCTGATGAAAGATGAAACAGGAGGAGGACAACTTCCGAATTTCTGGTTTCCGTGAAACCATTTGATTGGTCACTGTAACCAAGAAAGTTCTATGAAATTCTTTGTACTTTTATGATAATAGTAGTATGTTTCTTTTTGTTTTCTCATTACCTTCTTTACATATAATGTTTTTTCGATCCATATCAAACATCTAATCAAACACTATTTTTTATTTAGAATATCACATCAAAAAATAATTTTTTTTCGATCAAAACATCTCATCCAACATAATAAAAACTTATTCTGAATTCATTTTTTTAATCATTCCCAAACAATTCAAAAATACAAAAGACACTCCAAAACGCAAAGGAGCACAAATAGTTGCTTTAAGCTATTGTTTCCGAACCTTTTGAAATTGGTGAAAGAATGCTGCTTGTATTGGTCTACACATACCAATGGCGGTAGTAGATATGCCATTGCATTTTATATTTTTATCAGAAAAAAAATAGTGATCTTCCATTGAAGGAGTCTTGAAATATCCCTAGTTATCATCAGTTGTCCGATCTTCTACCATTTTTATCAACTGATGATCTTATTTAAACCAATTTCCTGTTTTGAGAAATTTGATTTTGTTTGCAAAATGAATCTTTAAGATTAGTAACTTGATTCACTATTATAAGCAAACTGTTAAACATTTGAAGGATGATTTAGAACCAATTGGTCTGCGGCCGATCTGGTGTATTATCAGCATGTTGATTTTCACATGTTGTTTTCTCAGTATTACTGTGCCTTATGCTTTCTCATCTTGATTTATTCTACCAACTAAATGCAGATCAGCCAAAGGGTATTTGAAATGATGAGACACGAAAACATTGTGGAAAATTCTGTTTCAAAATGTGTAGAAATGACGCAACAAAATGCTAAAGTATATCCTAAAAAGGAGAATCAATGCCATGCTCATTCCTGCTTAAATAATGGAACTGCTGATAATTTATCTTTGGAGGAGAGTAAGACAAGTAGCAAGCCATTTGAGTCGTACAAAAGACGCACCACTATGATTGTTCGTAGAAAAGTTTTCCTAGATGTTGTATGTGAAGCTTTGTTGGAGTACAAGTACATGGGGCCGAATCAGAGAGCTGATCTGGTCCTTGCTTGCAGGTACCGTTGGCATTGCATTGCTTTTTTAAGTTTCTTAGTTTTGTAAACTAATGACATAGTTCCATGATAAGTGAGTAGTATCTTGCACTCTTATCATGTTGCAACTGATGATTGATGCCAGTTGATCTTTTAGTAGTTAGTAGAACATCTGGACGCAAAGCTTGATTGGGGTAGTGACTATCATTTTGTTTTCCTCGTGTCATGTGAGAGAAGCAACTCATAAGGGACTATTCCCTTGTTGAAAATGCAAACGTGGCATATTATAAATCATCAATGTGATACTGAAGATGGCATAATGTGTTACGGCCGAACTAAGTTTTAGGGGGTCTGTGCAGCCTACATGTGATAAAATTCACTTCAACGTTTTAGGGAGACCACGTGGCGTGACATTAAATTATGATGGATCTTTAATCCCTTTCCTTGTGAGTGTATTTGCTTTGACTTGGACCTGGGCTGCACGTGCCATTTAATGATATCTGCATGACGTGCTGGTGGAAAACAATAACTAACGGAAAACAATAACTAACATGATCTGTTGAAATTTAGAAGCGATAAGATGCTAATGATTTTTTACTTTTGTTGTTCGCCTTTTCATTACAAAAGTGCAGCAACATAAAGGTTCAGTTGAATGAGTTTTTTGTACTGTTCAATAAGGTTCTGCTTGTTCTTTCAGAATACGAGAAAGAAAGGAATCTGTAACTGTTCTACTCTGTGGTACAAGTGGCTGCGGAAAGTCTACTCTTTCTGCCTTGCTGGTGGGGTTTCAGTTCCATTATGTCTTGTATATCTATGTTTTGGTATATAAATTTTGTTTGTGTATTTGGCATGCTGAAAAAATTACTATTTCTGTGGGAAGTGTTAATATTTAGTTCTGTAAGTTTTTCTTCACATTGTTTTGACCGGATGAGTATAATTATTTCATGAGAAATTAGCTGAAAGTGCTATGTAAGATTAAATATATCATTCATATTCAGATAGATCACTGAGTGCTTTCATATGGTAGCTTAACCTTTCATGTTAGCTGTTACTCTCAATTTGTCTGGTGTTTTGGTTTGAAGATGCATTGAATGATAAGTTAATTGCTCAGAATTAGTATTTTTTTTTTTTTCAATTGTTTTGGAGCATTACAGCCTATGTTCTTTTATTAAACGCATATTGAATTGTCTTAAAATTCCATATACTTCGATCAATTTCTGATTCTTGAATTTTGTACTAATTATTATTGCAGGGCGGAAGGCTAGGTATCACGACTGTGATTTCTACTGACTCAATTCGCCACATGATGAGGAGCTTTGTTGATGAAGAGCAAAATCCATTGCTCTGGGCTTCGACATATCATGCTGGCGAGTATTTAGATCCTGTTGCAGTTGCAGAAGCTAAGGACAAAAAGAAAGCCAAGAAATCTGGTGGTGTTTCTGCTGCCTCACTATCGAAAGACGAAGCTTGTAGTAATTCCTCGCCTGGAAAATCCGAGGGAAATCCAACCACCACTGATATGATTAGTCCAAAACAGATGGCTATAGAAGGATATAAAGCACAAAGTGAGATGGTGATTGAAAGCCTTGACCGATTAATAACTTCTTGGGAAGAACGGAAAGAATCAGTTGTTGTGGAGGGCGTGCACTTAAGCCTCAATTTTGTGGTAATTACTCATGCCTATTAGTTATTTTATTCAAAACTTGCTATGCATTTGATCTCAGGGTTTCTGATTCTGAAAATGTGGCAGATGGGGCTTATGAAGAAACATCCTTCGGTCATACCATTCATGATATACATTTCAAACGAGGAGAAGCACTTGGAAAGATTCGCGGTCCGCGCCAAGTACATGACGCTAGACCCTGCTCGGAACAAGTATGTAAAATATATTAAAAACATAAGAACCATCCAGGAATACCTCTGCCGCCGAGCAGATAAGCATTTAGTGCCGAAAATAAACAACACTAATGTTGACAAAAGCGTAGCTGCTATCCATGCCACAGTTTTCAGCTGCCTGAGAAGGCGGGAAGTAGGGGAGCCCCTGTACGATCCAACCACAAACACGGTTATGGCTGTTGATGAGGAGTATAGGAATCAGTGTGCTGCCGATTCACTAAGCTCCAAAGGGATGTTCCAGTTGATCCAGCGACAAGGATCTACTCGGCATTTGATGGTACTTTTGAATGGCGATGGTTCAGTGGCTAAGGCTTGGCCAGTTGATAACTTAGATGATTACGGGAAGCCCTTAGCAGGCCAACCTCTAGGGAATGGAATAGGTACCCCTATGTATGGGCCATTGCTGATCAGTAAAGCAGAACCCGTCAACCTGCAGTTTGGTCACTATGGAATTAGTGCGTGGCCGAGTGATACTGGCGGCACAAGTCACGCTAGCAGCATGGACGGGGGCGAGCTCACTGACACCGGAAGTAGATACATGTCATCCAGCTGCAGCTCACCAAGAGCCATTGATGGACCTGCCAAAGAGGTAAGATTGAGACATTTATATGTGTTATGCCTATATATATACATGAAATTGATTTTTATTCCAATGATGGTAAAACAATTACAGTGAAAAATGCAGCATTTCCCGGAAGATTAAGGTGGTGTGAAATAGTGTGTTTTTCTTGTGTTAATGATAATGATAGTGAATAGTGAAGTGAAAATGTCGAAGACTCGTACATAAAAATGATTGGGATATGACTAGGATATAAGATTTGTTTTTAGGGTTTTTGGTGTTGGTGAATGACTTCATAACTTACTTTTGAACTCGAATATTAACCGCCATAAGAACTTAATATCTTTTTCGTAGTTTAAATATTTATATTCCTGAGAGTGAGGATCCCATCAAAGCTCGAATATTTTAAAACTTCTAATATTTATTTATCCCTATAAATGTTCTTGCTTACCTTTCCTTCCACTCCTCCATGGCTTTTGGTAGCTTATGGAAGAACAGGCCGTGCATGGTAGCGATGAAGAGGCTGACGAGCCCCCTGAGGTAGACAGTGATGAAGATTTTAGTGACAGACAGAAGCATACCCAAGAAGAGGTAAGAAATAACACTTACATTGGTAGACTAGTGTCTATTTTAACGGGCGACATATCATGTTTTTAGCAAAATCACTAGAGCCGGTAGCCTATAAACGATCTAAATGAGATTCGAATTTAAGATCGTTTTCTTATGCTGCACTTGCTTTTTCCCTCGGCTCCTTTTTTCAGTTGGGCGACATATCATGTTTTTAGCAAAATCACTAGAGCCGGTAGCCTATAAACGATCTAAATGAGATTCGAATTTAAGATCGTTTTCTTATGCTGCACTTGCTTTTTCCCTCGGCTCCTTTTTTCAGTTGGAGGGTTCTGTAGATGAGGAATCCACTAAATCGGATGAAGAGTACAACGACCTTGCGATGCAGGACACCCCCGACAACAGTTACCTATCCAGGGATGACGAGGTGGACAGAGATGGCCTTTTCTTGAAAAAGCTCGACCAGTCTCATAGGACGAAAAGTGAACCTTTGTCTGAGGTCTCGAGGCTCCTCATAGACAATGGCGAGAGGAGAATACTGCGCTCGGAGAGTTACCGATCAAGAAAACTCTCATGGAGTGTAACCCAACATTAGGTACGACTTGCTAAGCATTAACCATTGATAATTTGGGCTGTGTTATTTCTTTCTTGTTCTTCTACTATTCTCTACTTTCTATAAAAAAAGGAAAAAGAAGAATTCATTAGTTAGCAACTTGCCTATTTTATTTATGTTGCTGTGTGTGTGTATCCATTTCTAACTCATATAGATTCAAACTCTTTTTTTTTGTACATTGGGTAAAATTATTTGCCGAACGTAATAGCCGGTAAACTATGCCACTTGCAACTTTGATCATATCTAAGTCAAACAAGTTTAGATTATGTGTTGATTCGAACAAGTCAGTATGGAGCTTATTTGATTCGATCAACTTATACATATCTTAATTGTTTGATTGTCTTTTCTCCCATTTTTTCTGTTAAATAATGTTAATTTTCTTTGTTATAATATTATTGTAGGCATTAAAAAATAAATATCTAAATTCAATCAAATAATATATATTTTGAGAGAAAATATAATTTCAATAAAATGAATATGTGATAGTTAATTAATATATGTTAATTTTTATACAATAAATATTTACTATTAATGCAGGATCTTTGTTTAAAATGAAATTTATTTTTTTTTACAGATATTATATGCATATATAGAGTCGTGATAAAATTTGATGATAAAAGAAATTAATCTCGTTAAAAAAATATTATAATTAATATCTTATGGAAAATGAAACAATAAAAAATTTTACGAGAAAGAAAGAAATATGGGTGTGTTTTTTTTTTTTGTTTTTTTTTTTTCACATTTTTTCAAAAAAATAATATATTAGACACATTTATTATTTTTATATTATCTATATGATTTATATATCGTAAAAAAATTATTTTTTCAAATTATTTCACAAAAAAATACACCTATAATCTCTCCAAAAAAATCTGAGGAAAAAGACAATGTTACAAAAATTTTATATCAGCCAATCAAAGAGCGCCATGTAGCATCATCCAAAAAGAAAACCGAGGTACCCCTCTCTTATAAATAGGGGTCATAACCAAGTCATTCAACACACCGAAGTTCATTCGAAAACTTGAGCAAGGGTAAGTTTTCAGAATTTCTTTGCAATGTTCTTGTTTTTTTGTGTCATTTGAAGTGTTTTTTGTCGAAAAATCACCGATTTGAACAAATGATCTAATATTAGTTGAGAAATCGATATAATTAACATTTTTCGTCGTAAGTTCAAGCCGGAGAAAGATAACAACTCCAAAATCCGTTGAAAAGTCCGACGAAATCAAATAGAAGTCATCCAAATTTATCCCAAATCTTCAAGATGTTCTTTGTCAAAATTATCATTTTGGCTCTCTTTAATCCGAAAGTCAAAGGGATATCACGTAAAAAGGTATTATTGAACACTAAATTCTCCTCTGCAAAAATCAAATCACCAAATCAAAGATCATGTTCGCTCAAATCCTTCGAAAGAGTTCGATCAAAGATCAAATCATCTCAAATCATCAAAGCCAAGTCAAAGATTTAAACATTTCTTCAAAGCCTATAAAAAATCATTTTCAAGTTGAAAGACAAGTCGATTCGAAAAGTGAATCAAATGACCTGCATAGAAAATAAGTTCTGCTTCAATTAAATTATACTCTCCCCATCCGTCAAACTTAAGAACATTTCCTTTGTAATTAAATTATACTCCCTTCGTCAGTCAAATTTAGAGACATTTTCTCTACATTTTATTTACAAAGAAAATGTCCTTAAATATGGCGGGATAGAGAGAGTATATAATTTGTACAAAAAATTATATTTATAAAATTAATGCAAAATATTTTTGTCTACAAGTATATCATACATTTGATATATTACATTAAATTCTTGGATAAAGAGAAGAAATTGATGTGTTATGTGTTTTCTAAACACAACACTTATATGAATTACACAACTATTCAATTGAAAGTTGCTTATTCTTTATTAACTTGTAGCAATCAACAACAAAGTGTCATAACTTCTTGCAATTGTTAAAAACTTTTGTTTGTCATCTTTTTTTTTTTTAGCAAGTCTTTCATGGAAATTTTAGTTTTTTATTACCCTCTTGTGTTGTTTGCTTGATTTCCCATACCCCAAGCAACTAGGCTTTTTGTGTTTGGTATTATTCACATCATTATCTGTAATTTTTTATTCGAAAAAAAAAAAAATTGATTTGTGCTAAGTCAATATATATATATATATATATATACACTCCGTTCCAATAGAATTGAACATTTTGATTAGGGATACAATATTTAAAGTGAAGATGTTTAATTAGTTAATAATAATGAGTTATGATATTATTTTATTATTTTTTATATAATTAATAATATTTAAGTTTTAAAATATATATGATTACAAAAATTAAAATATATGTTTAAATATTTAAAAATTATATAGCAATAAAAAAAATATATGCAATATGAATATTATTTTATAAAAAATAAAATTTTCTATAATAATAGTAAATAAAAAAATATTTATAAATTAATTTTATAAAATATGTGTAATTTTAAATATAGATAACAATATTTATTTTTTTGAAGAGAGATAGAAATAAAAGAGTTTTGAATGAATCTTTATATTTTGTTAAATATGTTTTGATTTAAAATTTTTACCTAAAATAGAAAAATGTAAATTGTTATAAAACAGATAACAAATGGAAATGGAGATAATATTTTATATATTTTCTGTATTTTATTTTTTAAATTATTGATACGATTATTTTTGTTTTACATAAAAAAAAATATCACAAACTAAAATACTAATTAAACGTGCAAATTTTAAACTTCAAATTAGTACCGTTCATTTGAGCTCACTCAATCAAAACCCTGTTCACTCGACAACTTGCTGGCAATGAACTCAATTGCGCACTCACGGTAGCGGCTGCGGGTTCACATGTCATAAAAAATAATAATAATAATAATAAAATTTATGTGTATCTAATAATAAAAAAAAAAAAATACAGGAAATTAAAGATGAAATTCTCATCGGTGATCGAACAGAAATCTATACAAACATGCATATATATATATATAAATTAAGTTAATTTCGAACCTGTGATTGGGTAAATAAATTGAGAGCCCTTTCAGAATAATCATTGTTTGCCGATGCAGCATCATCAAGATTCTCACCATATCTATGTATATATATATATATACACACATATATATGACCTTTAATTAATTGATTAATTTTTTTTTATTTTTATTTTTATAAAACACACACACACCCGTATGTGTACCTGTGTGTATCTATGTATATATACAGGGCAGATCGCCATGGATGTGAATCTTGAAGATGCTACACCAGAAAACAACGACTGTATCGAAATCTCCATAGATTTGCAGAGAGCTTTTACTTACAACTTACAAAGATGATGTCTTAAACTCTGTGTAATTTTGTGTGTGTGTGTGTGTTTATGGAATATGAACAAATTAAATCCCTCTCTCTCTCTTTCTTGATGTTGATCATCACAAACGAACAAAGCGCAAGGAAAAAAAGATAGGGTTTATATGCTCGGATGATCCACGCCGTTCATTGCATGGTGACGGACGGTTAGGATCTGCCTGGCGTTGAAGTCCCTGGAGCTTCAAAGAATTTGTCCGGCTGAGAATCTTAAACTCCTTTCCGGACAAGAGTATAAAAGGCTTTTTGGAATTTGAAAACATAAAAATAAAAATAAAATAGTAAAAAAATTAAAAATTAAAAATTTGATGTGATATTTTGTAAAAAAATATTTGATACTTTCCCCGTCCCACTTATTATGTTCACTTTTTCGTTTTCGTCCGTTTCACTTACTTATTATGTCATTTTTCTTTTTTGGAAAAAATATTATACACTTTAATTTTATTTTAAAATTTTAAATTTATATATATATTTTTAATTTTAATTAAAATAATTAATTATCTTAATTTTAATTTATAATTATTTTTATTATTAAATAATTATTTTTACTAATATATTTTTAATTATTTATTAATTATACCTATATGTTTACGGTAAAATGAACATGATATTTAGGACGGAGGGAGTATAATATATAAGATATTTACGGTTAAATAATGTTAAAATTTAAAAATATAGAAATTTAAAGTGTTTTGATTATAATGATTGGGTTAAATTAACATGTTAATTTGATCAAATCAGTTCATGTTTATAAAGAAAATAATAGTATATATTAATAAAATATATAACACATATTTTAATATAACATTATGGGTATATTTCTTTAGCTGAGTTTCTTCAAATTTTACTATTTGAACTCTGCATTTTCCGAAAAAATATATATTTTTCTCTCACAAAACATCTCATCAAACATTATTTTCATACCAAACTCAAACCAATTTTTTTTCCAAATTCATCAAGAGAAACACACCCTATATAATTTAATATAGAACATGTTGATTTGACACAATCAACACATGTTGATAATATATAACATATATTTTGATAGAACGTTATATAATTACATATAACACAATATATTTTGATTTAAGCACAAATAACACATTAAGCAAATTATACAACACAGCACAATATATAACCTACACGGTTAATATTAATACAATATATAACATAACACATTATATAATTTCATGTAGTACAATATATGTTGATTTCAGAACAATATATAACTAACACAAAACATGTTTTTACGTAACACAATATATGCTATCGGTCTTATGAAAAATATTAGTTGATTTAAGTGAATGAATCAACTTGGCTGTATACTATCTATTTTGAAATGAACTACTAGCTGCTTCAAGGTGTGTGTTTGTTTGATCCTTTGGATTTTGGATTGAGATTTAAATAGTAAAAAATTTAAATTAGAATAATTGTATGATGTGATATAAATATGAATTGATGTGATGTTTTGAATATAAAATTGATTTTTTGTATAGTATAAAAAAATAAGAAATAAAAGTTTGATTTAATGTGTTAGCTTGACCAAGTCAACACCTTAATCACTGTCATGTAAGTAGGGTATGTGTTTATTTTTGGGCAATGGTGTTGCATTTTAGTTTTGAATACTTAAATTTTGAATTGAAATCGATATTTGATATGATATTTTAAATATAAAATTAAATTTGAATATAATATAATAAAATTTATATTAAATATTTTTTTTAATATTTTTTAGAAAAAATAATAAAATCACAAACAAAATATTCCAAACAAATACATCCTTATCCTTAGTTAGAATTTTTTTTTTTTTTTTCTAAAAAAAGGAATAAAAACGACCCCTATTTGCTACTCCCTCCGTCCCACATAATTTGTCACTATTTTCTATTTTCGTCCGTCCCATATAATTTGTCTTTTTTTTTTTTGAAAAATTGATTATACACTTTAATCATATTTTAAAATTTAAAATTTAATTTTTTTAATCTTAATTAAACTATTTAGTTATCTTAATCTTAATCTATAATTATTTTTACTAAATAATAATTATTTTTACTAATACACTTCTTAATTACTTACTAATTATACTTTACGTAAATTCCCGTATCTACAGTAATGCTGCCTTCTTATCTAGGACGGAGGGAGTATTTCTTTGTCAATGGCATTTATAATACAGACAAAATTCAAAATGAATAGAAAAAATAATAATTAATAATAATAATAATTCAAAAAATTCTGGCATAAATTAATTAGGGATAATGGTATTTGACTAAAAAAAATAATACATTGGATAATACATACATATATAGTATGATATTGATTGCTTTAATAATTATTAGCATCTTTGAAAATAAAATAAAGTGAATTTATTTTATTTTATTTTTTTTTATGACGTGGAACCCGCAGCCGCTACCCGAAAGTGCACACTGGGTAAACCTCCGGCCGAATCTAATACCCTGCAAATCAGGCCCAACGGGGCCACACTAGGCGAACCATGTGTGATAAGTGTGAATTTATTCTTGGGTTGATAAAATATCACAATTCACAAGTAGGCTTATTTTATTTACTAAAAAATATATTAATAATTTATTAATAATATGTACGTATATATGTAGAATAATAACATTATTTAGGAATAATTCAATTTGCATAATTGTGTATTTTTAGGCGTCTTTACCTTATACGGTTAAATAATTTTTATTGCTTGCACCAATTAGTAAATATACCTAATACTATATGTTACCTTATGTGTAGAATATATGCTTACCAACTAATAGAAAAATCGAGATTTGTGGTAAAAAATTGAAATCAAATTTTAATTAATTAATTAATTTTATTTTTTTTCATAATATAGTACTTTTTTTTTTTCTTTACAAACACTAAAATCTCCTTTTAATTAAATTCAATAATGTATTTTGAATGACAAAATTAGGGTGGATTCCATTGCCCAAGTTGGTGTTTTGTTTACTTTTTTAATTTCCACTTATTTATATTACTTCCGTCCCCAAAAAAATGATTCATTTGTTCCGAAGATGATTATTTAGTTAATATAGGGTAGTAAATTATTGGATAATAAATTATAATATTATTTTATTATTATTTTTTATGAGTGGTATTATTGATAATTTTAAAATATAAATTAATATATATGATTAAATGAATTTATAATATGTGTTTAAATATTTTTAATATTATATTTCAATAAATACATAAAATATGAATATTATTTTACATATAATAAGAATAAAGAAAATAAATTTTTAAATGTAAATAAAAATATTTATTTATTAAAAAAAGCTAAAAATAAAAAAAAATTGACTTTTGAGTGGTCCTAATGTTAAGAATTTAATTTAATTTATTTATATTTGTTAAATGAATAAATTTTTACTAAAACTAAAAAAAATCATTTATTTTGGAGTGAACCAAAAAAAATGAATCATATGTTTGGAATAGAGTAGTTTTTATTATATTTTTTGAAAATTAATATGAAATACTTATATTTTATATTGTTAGAGCTGACACTTAATTGTGTCGGAGGAGTTTTTAAATGAACTAAATTGCTCAATCCGAATACGACTTGTTCAAATCTGAGCAACATGAAATAACCGGTTATAATTTTCTTAACAAGTTAGATGATTCAACACGAACTCGACCTACTCAAAATTGATCCGACTAATACGAAATCGATCCGTTTATCTATTTAAATTTTTTTTTAAAATTAAAATTTCATAAATTAAACAATAATGAAATAATCAATTCAAAAGAAAGTTAATAGTCATCAACATGGGTGGCAATTCAGCACGTCCGACATTGAAGAGGGTTGTACAAGCACGGCCCGGTTTTGAACCGGGCCTGAACGGACAAGTCCGAACGCGACACGGTTTGAAACCGGGCTCTTCCGGGCCAGTCTGTTTTATCTTCTATTTTTTTAATTTAAAATTACTTTTAATATAAATTTTATTTAAATGAGAATTGAACTCGCAATCAATCATGAACAATTTAAAAACCTTACAATTAAACTATATCTGCGTTCTGATTATTATTTCATTATTTAGTATATATATAAATATATCAAATATTAAATATTAATTTTAAAAAATCGGATTACATCAGGCACAGTCCAACCTTCATAGGTTCAGGAACAACCCGGTTTATTGGCGTGTCGGGCCAGGCATGGCCCAAAATAATTCAGGTCTAATTTTTTTAGGCCCAAGCACAATTTTTTTGTGCCAAGTTCGAACCGAATTTTCGATCAGTGCCTAATTTTGCCACCTCTAGTCATTAAGTCAATCAAAATAGTCATACATACACACACAGTAAATAGTAAAAATTATTAAATGAAAATCATTCTATATTTATAATAAATATATTAATTAATATTAATATATTATAATTGCATAATCTTGTTGGATTCAAATTGAAGACTTCAACCTAATTGGACTTTTTTATTATTGTATTAGGTTTGTGTCGATCTGTATATATAATCAAGTTAAAATCTTTGACCCAAACTCAATTATTGTGTTAGTTCTTGTCAGCTCCTAACATTATATAATTAATCTCTCTATCCAATCACAAAGTATAAATATATTTTTTGGTTGTTCAAGAACAAACTAATCATTTTAAATATCTTTTTTTTTTTCACAAATACTTCTATTTTATCATCATATTATTATTTTACACCAAAAAAAAAGTAAAATTATTTTTATACTACTTTTAATTACTCAAAAATAAATATATATTTATAAATTGAACAGATTAAGTATTATACTACATTTGTCCGGCTCTAAGGTCTCATTTACTTTTTGTGTGTTGATCTTTGAATATTAATTATTATATAAAACCGTAGTACAAATCAAGGAAAAATGACAAAAATACTTCTGTGTCTTATAATACTATAATAATGATATTTTTGCAAAAAGTTATACAAATATAAGGATATTTTTAATTTTAAGTACAATGACGGAGAGAATATATAAAATATATTTATAACATCAAATTAAATCATACTTTTTATTTAATTTTTTTTATTACATTCAAACAATTTAAAATATCAAGAAATTTCGAAACAAATCTAAATACATCATAATTTTTGTAGGGTTCAAACGAGATTAAATTTTAACATTTCTTGAAAAATCATAGGATATTTACGAAATTGTGTGAAAGTCTCGCAAATATCAAGCACCTTTTATTATTATTATTATTATTTAAAACATCGATTTAAATATTACTTTTCATTCTAATTATTATAATTTTTAAAATAATTCAAAATGCAAAAATAATTTCAAATCACGAAACAAATCATATCCAAGAAAATAAATCATCACATAATAATAATAATAATAATAATAATAAAAAATGGTAAGTTGACAAATTAAACAAGATAATAAATAAAAGGCTTGAAAAGGGTGAGAAGATTAAAAGGAAAATAAAAATCATAAAGGAAAGAAATTAAACAAAAAAGGTAAAACAGAATCAAATGGTAAGAAAATTTATATATACTCAATGACATAAGTAATTATAGTCACAAGTTGTTCTTATCTTCATTTGTTAGAATTGAAAGATGATAATTATGATGACGAATTTGCTGCTGATACGTTTTCATTTTAGGTCTTAATAATAATTTTTTTATTTCTATTATATACTCTGTTTGTTTGAAAATGTATTTGTCCACTTACTTCATATACGTGAGATTAAAAAATATAAAATTGATTGTTATACTTAAAAAAAGCTAATAAAAAAATATAGTCTGAAAATTCGATTTGAACTCAGTATAAAAAAGTTATATTTGAACTTAAAAAATAACTCTGAGAAAACTTCGGATCATGCCAAATCCACGATGAGAAACCAAGCCATGCTTTCATGGTCCATTTTAGTAGATTAAATAAATTTTTAAATAAATATTTTTATAAATATATTAACAAATAAATATGTTAAAAATAAAAATGTAATCTAATGATTGGATTCTTGTCTTATTAGTTGTAGGTGTGGCCTCTCAAGCCGGACGTAAAATCGGGATGGGCCTGTTTTGACACAGATAAAAAACAAAGCAGGTAGACCCGTTACAAAAAATCGAATCGGCCCAAAATTACCATTTCTAGATATAGTTATTGAGTCAAATCTAACATAATACTTATTTGACCAAATCAAAACATCTTTATATAGAAAAAGGCCAAATCACATAAAATCACCCCGTAGTTTGCAAAACGTGCTAAAAACCCTCTAGCGCGTTTCTGTCCTCACTCACGCGCATCCTGAGAGACTTTCAGGGGTCACCCGGATCACTCATCCTCAAATTACTCTAGAGTAAACACGCTTAGTTGTAGACTGGCCCCACGAGTCAACACAAATCCTTACAGCGTGTTTCTGTCATCACTCACGCGCACCTGGAGACTTCCAGGGGTCACCCGGATCATCCATCCTCAAATTACTCTAGAGCAAACACGCTTAATTTTAGAGTTCTTTGAGTAAAGCTTCCAAAAAAGAATATGCACATTGTTGACATGAATAGTCTATTCAATTCATTTAACTTCTAATCACTTTTGGATGGTCTAATATCGGTTCATCCACACACAAGAGTTCGTGGGGTATCACAACCCCCCCCCCTCTCTCTCTCTCTCCCTAAGTCGTTGTCACTAATCTTCCGATGTCGCCGCCTCAAATTTGTCACTATTTGGCTGGAGAGATTAATTAATTACGTAAAGTATTTGATTTTCAAGCATTTAGTTTACCTTTTTGTCAAGAGTTCTTCTTTTGTGATGAAAGGATCAGATCAAATATCAAAGTGGGTTTAATGGTAAAATTGAAGGTGGAGATGAGAACGCCGAAGCCGGATCTGCAACCTTAATGGTGGACGGAAAATTGATCGACGATTACTTGGTGAAAATTGCTTATGGCTCTAATCTAAAGCTGAAAATATTATATGATCTCGGTGTCGTCTTGCTGGAAGACGCCAGCCTCTTTGACGACAGGGTTTATCGAGCCGTCGATTTTTACCTCAAGGTTGAAGAAACCATCAATTTAATTAGAGCAAATGCATTAGGACTTCAATATTAATTTATGAATTTTTGTGCAGGGTCGGAAAAATGGAAAATGTCGTGGAGGAGAAGAAAGGGTGGAGAATTTCAGCGGTGGTGGGACGTCACAGAGGAGATGAAAGGAAAAGAGAGTTCAGGTAAGGGTATAGTGGATGAAAAAGAGTGATTAGGGCAAAGTTGGGGAAAAGAGGTGAAGGCTATCGGTTTTGAGGGGGTGGAGGATTCCGATGGTGGTAGTGAATATGGGAAGAAAGTGTAGTGTCGGGTGGTGTTTGGTGAGGAAAAGAGGTATTAGGGTATGTATGTATGTATATATATATGTGTGTATGTTTTGATGTATGTGTGTGTATGTACATGTGTGTTTTGATGTATGTGTGTGTGTATGTACATGTGTATGTATGATGATGCAGAAATTCGTTAAACTTGGAGTGAGTGGTCAAATTCCTTAGGTGTGTTTGTTTGCTAATTTGAATTTTGAGTTGAGATTTGAATAATAAATTTTTTAAATTGTAATAGTTGTACAATGTTATATAAATATGTGTTAATGTGATATTCTAAATATAAAAGTGATTTTTAATATAATATAAAAATTAAAAATAGAGATTTAATTTGATATTTTTAAAATTTTTGAATTTTTTTTTTTGACTAATAGCATAAATCCTTGGAAGTTTGCCAAAAGAATACATTCTAAATACTCCATCTGTTCCAATACAATATTCTTGTTTACTATTTTTGTCCGTCTCAAAACAATAGTCTCATTTCTATAAATATTCATATCACCATAAAATTATCCCTATTTTTTTTTTATTATTATTACACAAATACCACTACTTTTTATATTAATACACTCATAAGGCAAAAAAGTCTTTTACTCATATTTTTTACCAACTATCAATATAATATCAATATTTCTTAAATCCCGTGTCCAACTCAAATAAGACCATAGTTTTGGGACGGAGGGAATAAAAGAAAAATCTACTAGGGGTACAACGGTCTAGACATGTAAAATATTAACACCGTCAATCCAATTTTTAAGAGAGGGACGAGTGTGCATCAATTTTCGAACCATAAGTAGATAAAATGGAATTTTAGGACTTAGAGATTTTAAGCAAATTTCGGAAACCATAGGAGAATTTTTTACCATTTTGCCAAAAAAATAGCAAATATCATACAATACATATTAATATAATATATAACACATATTTTGATATCACAATGTATTATGATTTCAGAACAATAAACATATTATATAGCATAGTACAATATATAACCTACACAACAAAGGTTAATATAATATATAGAACATATTTGAAAGCACATTATACAATTTTATATAACACAATATATTGTGATTTCAGCACAATAAATAAATTATACAACATAACACAATATATAATTCACACGAAAAATATTAATACAATATATAACATATATTTGAAAACACATATCCATGTAGCACAATATATTATAATTTCAGTATAACAAGCAGATTATAATACATAACACAATATATTAACTTAATTGTATATAAAATATTACTCCCTCCATCCCACTTAATTCGTACATTATTTTTATTTTCGTCCGTCTCATATAATTTATCTTTTTTTTTTTTGGAAATACAATTATACACTTTAATCACATTTTAAAATTCATAATTTATAATTTTTTTATTTTAATTAAACTATTTAGTCATCTTAATCTTAATCTAAAATTATTTTATTAAATCATAATTATTTTTACTAATACATTTCTTAATTCCTCACTAATTACACAATACCTAAAATTCTATGTCTAATCTAAATGAGACAAATTAGTCGGGATGAGAGAATATATTTTAAAAATTTTCATATACAAAATATTACATTCAATACTTATTTAATCTAGATTTACGTTTGAAATCATAAACAAACAAATCCAAAATTCTCAATATTAGGGTTTGTTTGGTTTTGATTTGATTTTAAATTAGAATTTTTTTTATTATTTAAGTTTGAATTTAAATAGTATTTTAATATGATGTTATTTTTAATTAAAACTAATATTCCCTCCGTCCCATAAATATAGTCTTAATTAGGTTGAACACGAAATTTAAGGAATATTGATATTATATTGGTAGTTGGTAAAAAATATGGATAAAAGAATTTTTTGCCCTTGTGAGGGTATTAGTGTAAAAAATAGTGACAATTGTGTAATAAAAATGAAAAAGTAGGGGTAGTTTTATGGTGATATGATTATTTATGAAAACAAGACTATTGTTTTGAGATGAACAAAAATGGTAAACAAGACTATTATATTGGGATGGAGGAAGTATTAATTTTGAATTTGAAAATAACATCAAGAAATTATTTTTCCCGACATATGATCCCAAAGTAACAAAAGGACTTGTTTGTCCCCTATCAACACAAGATCCCACAGAACATGAGAAACTATATATCCTTTTACGACATAGAATCTCACATGAATAGAAACAATAACTCATGTCCTATATGATCAAAGAAAATTGATAGGAATTGCCCATAAGGATATGAATAGGAAATGTATGAATATGATATATTATACAACACAAAAAGTGTTTATGGATGCGTCTGAACCACGGCCAAACTCCGTAGAAGAGACGGAACAGACTTGAGTCCTCAAGAAATCATCCTAAGGAGCTCTTGAAAGCTCTTAGATGCACGATTAAAAAATTTTGGATTTTTTTGTGTCTCCAAGTTTGTTAAATATGTTCTAGCGGCTGCAAACTTGAAGAAAATTGTTCTTTTTTAAAAGAGTAATTTGCCCAGGACAACTACTATGCAATATGAACAAAAATTATTTTCTTAGATGATGGAACGGAGAAAGGTATCTACTTTTGGTTGTCCTCCAACATCAGAGTTTTTCTTTCACGTGTTTCTTCATCCTACAATCGTTATATCTCATTCCGGATGGTCAATTGGATGACCACCAAATATTGTGAAATCTCGAGTGCCAAATCATGTTATGAAACTTGGATTTTTGTCTCTAATATGTTCTCAATGAACATTAGCAAACATAATAATGTTCCGCCTTATTGGAATTTCATTGACAATTATAGATTCGATATTGGCAAGTTCGTTAAAAGATGGAAGATCGCAAGGATTTTCAAAATTTGATCATGTAATTTCACTAAACACATGAGATGTTCAAGGGTCCCATTGAACTTGTCAATTTGTTTTTATTAAAAATTATCCATCAACAACTTTTTCGGTTGTTGGTCTCACCGAAAGGATGTGAAATGGTGATTTAGAGGCTAACTCAAGAAAGTCTTTTAGACAAACACACGCATGTGAAATCTTGAGACGAAATAAAAGAAATTAAGATAGATAAAACATAAATTAAAGTAAAAAAACAAATCAAAGGAAGACTTGCAACACAAAATTAAATCAAAAAAAATATTCATAAACAACGAAAAATACATGAAAAAAAGTAAAGTAGAGATAATGTACCCCATTTTTATAAATGTACAGGAATTGATCTTGGACCCTCTCTCATTTGCATTTTGCTTTATTTTTGTTGTTCTACAACGAGGACTCCATTAAGTGTTTTTTATAGTTCATCGTTGATGATTTTATTGAAAAAATTCTTTAAGTGTTATATTATTGAGCTTTGTTTTAATCGTCGTTTGAAATTGATCTGAAATAGAATGTTGATTTGAATTTTTGTTTAAATAATATTTTAATATAATATTTTTTTTTATTAAACGTTGTATAAAATAAATAGTATTGATTTCAGCTTAAAACACAAAATAACAAACTCCACATACTTAAAATCTCTCTAATTCACATTAAAAACTTACATGAAGACCCCTTCCATCTATTTTCACAAAAACATCCTTAAACTTCAACTACTATTCTTCAAAGTCCAAGTTTCACATGTCTTAAATTGTATAGCCCAATATCACAAATCTATTTCTTTAAATATTTTAATTTTTGGGCCAACTTCAAGACATGTATTTATATCATATAATATACATATATATATATATATTGTTCATTTTTTTTAAATAGTTAAATTACCATTATATATATATATATGTAAAAATACACCTTCCATATATTTTATTTTAAATTCTTATCAGTTTGGACATAGGTTACTATTTCAAAATGGATATAAAAATCCCATGAAAAGAAAAAGAAAAAAAAAATATAATATTAAGGGATGGCTACAGATCAATTATTTGTAAATTTTATGATATTCGTTCTATTTACATATATATATTTTTAATAATAAAGATTTATTTTTAATGCAAAACTTTACATTCAATATATATTAACATATATATGTTTGATTAGAAATTTATTATTTAAATTTTTTTATTAGCAATTTATTATTTTAATTATTTACTATTTAATCTTAACTATGCTATATAAAACACATTATTTCCTTTTACAAAACAAAATTTCAAAACTAAAACAATATTCACCAAACAAAACACAACAATTATTTCAAAAGCTCTCCCAAACTCCTATCTACCTATGATATTTTAATTGAATTAAACAAATATTATAAATCTTAAATGAGAAATAGACAAGATTTGTTTGGTTTTGGTTTGAATTCGACTTTTTTTTTTTTTATTTTTTTTTTATTTTTTTTATTTTGGTTTATATGGTACTTTAATATAAAAAAAATTAATAAAATAATATACTTTTATTAAAAATCATATAGACTAGTGTTTATTTTAGGTTGGAGCCAAAACCAAACAAACAAATGTGATACTCCCTCCGTCCATAAACTAACGTCCTACTTTCCTATTTGGAATGTCCAACAATTATTGTCCTCTTTCTATTTTTATATACAAAATTTACTATTTTACCCTTAGTTTATTTACTCATTCATTTTCTATATACAAGATTAAGGACAAATTTGTCATTTTATAACAAAAACCTTAATTGCCTAAAAATACATGTAAATATCAAATAAGATATTAGAAAATAGACAGAGGGAGTATATTTTAAAAAGATAATTTTTAATAATTCACACATTTTGAAAAATTTCACATTATTAATCAACAATAAATTAATAAGAAGATATCATATTAATTAATTAATCTATTATAAAATATAATATCAAATACTCAATTTTTTTACTATTTTTTTTAAAAAATAAAAAATTCCAACAAATTTATGTAAATGGAATTTCTATACATTAGCTATTTAGTTTGTATTAAGTATTTCAAGGTTAAGAATTTAGTTAGTGGGCCTAATGCGGCCCATTAAGCGAAGCCATTTGAAAAGGCCCATTAAAGAAGCCCGGCCCGGAACAGGGGTCGATATAAGGAATGAATGTGGAAGGAGAAGACAGAAATGCAGATAGTTGTCCGCGCTGTAGCCTGCCTGTAGCCAAAAAGGAAGGAAGGAAGGTTGTGGAGAAGAAGGAGAGGAACAAAGAAATGGAAGGACTTGTTTTCTCGCACATCAAGCCATAGAAGAAAATTCGTACGTCAATCACACCAATTTGATTCTCCAGAATCTTGGGCGGATTCTACTAGGTGATTGACCCACCCTCCTTTCTCTCTCTCATAGCCTCTGATTACTGTTTTTGTTTTGTTGTTTTCCAGAAATACATATTTTTTTGGTTGCTTCCTTATCTCATTCGCAAGTGTCTCTGGATTCTCGGCCTTCCTCCTCGTCCTCGTTCGGTTTTCTGCGCTGCCATTTTCAGGTGAGAATTGTGGTTTGATTTTTGTAAAACAATTCCGTGTTTTTGGATGCGTTTCGCCTATTTTTTGCTTGTTCCGTGCCAGCCGTTTTCAGTTAATTAGGTTTCTGAGTTGGCTTTTTGATGTAATTTCTGGACGTTTGTGCTTGCGGATTGTTTGAATTTGTCGAATTGATTAGATGCGATGGTTTTAGCTTTCATTTGCATGGAATTGTTGGCTAGATTATAACTTCGGCTTTCGGTAATGGTATTATGCGATGATTTGATTGTTTGGCTTTGCTTGGTCGTTTCTCGATCGCTTCCCAATGGAATTTCCTGTTAGGGAGAGTTGATTCTAACTTGGAAGGCCAGAGACGTGGAATCTGGTTTTTGAATCAATTGCTGTTCTCCATTTTCTCTGTATGAGATAATCTAAATTATGATTTACATATTCTTTAAGTTTCATCAATTAGTTGATTTTGCTAGAAAATGCCTTCACCATGACACAAATAAGAAAAATTTGAGTATGTTTCAGTTTCTGAATTGGAGTTTTGTTTGGTATGTTTCATAGCTGTATGAATTGCTTTTATCCTTTGCAAGGCTTGCTGTGGTAATTTATTCGGATCTGTTATGCAGCAATCATATCTTTGATGATAATGATATCTAGTCTTGCCACGAGTCTTGGTAACGTGCCTTTGTTTCATAACTTTTCCACCACGTGTCGTCGATCGGTGAATCAACATAACACTTGTAGCTTTTGATCATGACCACGTGGTGCTTTGTGTGAAAGTAGAAACTGCATGCCATTTATTCTACTAAGTAATCTTAATATACAAAATCTCAGAAATCAATGCAACTATAAGAATAGCTGTTGAATAACGGAACTTGGGTTGTCGAACGCTACGTGTGAAGATGTGGGCCATGTCGATTAACTTGCAGTTAATTCACATCAACTTTCCTTCCTTAAAACAGATTCTAAAACAAAAAGAAAGAAAAAGAAATCTGTGGTCTTTCCAATTAGGCAGCAAACCACAACTTGTGAATTTTGAGTGGAAGCGTGTGCCGGATTAAAAAAAGCTGCCTCATGTCTGTAAATGCTAGTAACTTCTGTGTAGCGATTGAAGGGATTAACCTTCAAGTTACAAGCTTGTAAATGCTCTTGAAACTTTGAAATTACTCCGAGTTCTTGGCGAACTTAGAGATCTTACTATTCTTTCGGTATTATATGTTCAACAGAGTGCTTTCGTTGCTGCACATTTGAACATTACACCTCATCATATATGGTTATTCTTTCCAAAAAATTTCTGTTTGCTTAAATTATTTTTTACTGGATGGATGCTTCTCTTAAAACTTAATCCCATTCTAGAATCATTTAATTCAAGAAATTATTCTCTGGTAAATAGGAAAAATGCTGCTTGGGTTTGATAATTTTGACAAATCTGCAGTCTGCGCATCCGAGTTGTCTGCGCGTAAAGAAGTGAACTTCAGTCGTGTGAATTAGTTTGTCTTGCTTCCAGTTGCACTTGATTTGATTACAGATGAGGCTTGCGTTGGTATTATCCTTCAATGTTTCTTGTTTCCGGATGCATTATGGATTTTTCTTTAATACAGTCCATGAATTCTGAAGCGAGTTTGAAGATATATACGGTTACAGTCGCAATCACATAGTACTTTCCTTAGTGTAACTCTCTTGATTGGATTTTGTCATGCGAGTTTCCGCACAATGCATCTGTTTTTTACTTGTGGGCTGATTGTGTATGCAACTGATCGATGCTTAATCTGATATGAGAGTGCCGGGTATAGGAAAACTAAACTCTTTACACGCATCTACAGTCTATATTCTTGTCTCTATTAATGTCGTTTCTGAAAGGTTTTCTCAGTCACTAATGCTTGTAAATGGCAAATTACCTTCAGGCTCTTCCAATCACAGACTCTACAATGAGCAATCCATACGGCGTGAGTCAGGTAAACCAAAAAACCTTGATACAATTCGTGTCCTTTTCTACGCACCTCCTCGTGATAATGTCTCAACGTATGCATGTATGTATGTAATTTGATGGCAGGATCAAATGAGTATTGCTGGATTTGACGTCCCAAATTCTCCGGACGCAAGCTATAGCAACGCCTACAATGCAGGTGAAGATGAAGGGCGGGAGCCTCCGAGTCTGCCGCCCCACCTCCAGCATACGCTGCTAAACCATGCAACGAACAGCAGCGACACATCGTCGGGCTCCCTTCCGTCCCCCCAGAATGTTACTCTGAATCACCTCTACATCGAGAACAGAGAGCCTCCGCGATCAGTGGTGGCGCTCGGGGTCACTCACCGCTTTCGCGCCAAATTTGTTACGGTGGTGCTGTATAAGCCGGTTCCGAGGAGGTGATCTGATCCGACCCGATCCGACCACAGTCTCTGTTCGATTTAATTTTATTCGATATTATTATTGAGAGCGCGGTAGCTGTAATTGATTTGAATTGCAGATTGAGAGAGAGAGAGAAGAGAGAGAGAGAGAGAGAGAGAGAGAAGGAAGGTATAATGAACTAATACAGTATAATGCAAGTTAGGTACTGCCGTGTGTGTGTTGTTGTTGAAGGCTGAGATGAGACAGTTGAAATTTGTTTGTGTTGCTTTCCTTCCTTCCATCATTATTGACTTCACTTGAATTTAGTTGCTATTTAAAGGGATAGAAGAAATTATAAACTCTACTTACTATTTGTTGTTAGTTGTTGTTAGTTCCGGATTTTGTTTCCGCAACATACTTTGATTTATTTGACACTATTTATTTTGTTTTAAAAATATGGTATCAAATATATATTTTTTTTCACAAAATATCACATCAAATAATAATATTTTATTTTTTTTCAAATTTTCAAAATTTTAAAAATCTCCAAAAAGTTCTATTTAAACAAAGCTTTAGCATCTGCAAAATTAATTTCATTCTCGTTCCTTGTATTTGAATTACAAAAGATTCCATTGAATGTTTATATTTAAATATTATTTGATTTGATATTTGATGAATTTTGTTTTTAAAAAAATATAATTAAAATAGTAAAATTTGGAATATAAATTCTAAATAAACTGATTTGGACAAACTGCCGCCTGGATTTGGCATCACTCAAAATCCTATTGGGTATATCTGCGACATACTCTCTTCTATTTTATATTCGCATACTCATTCTAATTTTTTAATAATTTTTTATTTTCATATTATATATATTATTTTTAATTATAATATTATATTATTTAATTACTTTAAAATTTATAATTATATTTTATTTAATAATTTAAATTAAATTTATTAATATTGATTTGTTCAATAGAATTATATAATATTTGTATTTATATATTTTAAATTTTAAATTGATAAAAATATATTTAATATTGGTATCATTTTGTATAATACAAAATATTATAAATTATAAAAATATTACAAAATTTAAATATAACAATAAATTCAATATAAATTACAAAAACAAAACATATATAATATATATCATATATATATATATACATAAGACTTGAGACACATGACAATTGAATAAAGCCCATTTTGGCTCGACTCAATTTTGCCAATTTTCAATTAACTAGGCCGAATTGGATAGTTTCTGAATTGGGCCGGACTTACAAATTAAAGCTCAAATATATGTTTATGTAGATATTTAATAGTATAGTATAAGATTTATTTTATGTGATTAAATAATATATAAAATTATACTATTATATTATTTTATTTGATTATATCGTATAATTATTTTTTTTATTCAAAATATTCTTAATAATTTTATTATCGTTAGGGTAAGTACTATCTCTGTCCGGCTTTAAAGTCACATTTATTTTTTTGCATGTTAATATTTGAATATTAATTATTACTCCCTCCGTCATCCAAATGTGTGCTCATTTGACCGGGCACGGGTTTTAATAAAAGTGAGTAATAATGGTTACTTTTTCCTTTTATAGTAAAAAAAAGTACAAAAATGTAATAATTTTTTACTTAAAAAGGAAACGAGAATATTTTTCAATGACAACCCAAAAAGGAAAGTGAGCATATATTTGAATGACGGAGGGAGTATATCAAAACGTAGTACAAGTCAATAGAGCTGTCAAAATGAGTTGAGCCCGTCGAATTGACTCACCCTACTTCACTTTTAAAGAGGGTTGGATTTTGAATTTTTAGACTATGTTAAAATGCGAACCTAAATAGAACAATCCGCATGGCCGCGAGTGGAAAGTGAGTTAGCCCGCGCCGGGACTGGTGGAAAGTAGGCCCGCGGCGGAGCGGGTGGAAAGTGGATTAACCCGCGGCGGGGCGTTTGGCCCGCAAGCTAACAGTATACAAATTATAATAGATTAAATATTATTGTTTATATTATAATTATATACTTATACTATATTATTTTTAATATAATCTAATTTTATAAATATATCTTATAATAACTTTCCTAAAATATTGGAAAGGTCAAAGTCATCGACATCCAGAGCTTGCATCGATGACATGTGATATACTATCTATTACTGGAACAATTGCATCTGAATCAATTTTTTCTATTGGTGGTCGCATTCTCACAAAGTATAGAAGTTCTATGGTTCCTTGGAGAATTCAAACTTTGATTTGCACATGTCATTGGTTGCACGAATTTTCTATCGGTAAATTATACTCACTTCGTCCCAAACACCCTGCAACATTTCATTTTTGGTATGTCCCAAACACCCTGCGACATTTCCAAAATAGAAAATAATTAATTATACTTAATCTCTACCCCACACTTTATCCCCTCACATCATCCAAATAAAAAATAAAATATATATTTCTCTCTCCATCATATCACTTAATTTTTAAATTATCTTACTTAATACTACCCACCTAAAAATCCGTGTCAAAAGTAAATATTGCACCTTGTTTGGCACGAAGGGAGTATTATATTATAAATATTTAAATAAAATTTTCATATTATATTTTTCTATATTATTCTGATTTATTTTATTTGTAGAAGATATTGATAATGATGGTGGTGGAGGCGGTGATGATGATGATGATTGCACGAGGAATAAGAATGAATGGTCTAATATTTTGCATATTAATGAAGATAAAAAAAGAAAAAAATGTAATGATATGATTGATTAATTTTAATTTTAAAAATATTATGTTTGCGCATTTGGATATTGGAAATTGGAATTGTATTATTGAATTAATATATTATTTTTTTGCAATATTTATTATTTAAAGTCTACAGTACAATTATTTTTTTACTTAATTTTTAGATATTTAATTATATAAAACATAATTTTAATATTTGTAAAAAACCTGCGGATTGGCCTGCTTGGCTCAGAGCCATCCATAAGTGGGTTGGGTTTGATTCATTAAATTTTAGACTGTCCTGTCGTAGGCTGGCCCGTAAATAATTCGTTTCTTTGCGGGTTATAGTGGATTGTGGGTTAATATGTCCCGATAGTCCGTTTTGATAGCTCTAGTTCTCTCCGAAAACATCGTTCGTAGCCTTGTTTACGAAATCAAAAGTTTTTTCTGATTCGACCGACGTAGAGGAGGAATTCGTCACCATCGTGGCTGGATCTACAACACTGGAGTCCTGTCTCATATTATCTCCTAGTTTCGCTCCTGATTTAGGGGCAGAGTTGGAGAATGACACCGATTCTGACATGAGCCACGTTTATAGCCAGAGATTTCTTGTGGCAGCCTGCTTTGTCAACTCAAGGTAGGATTGAAGTGGCAACTTTCAGCTGCTCTTCTACCTGAGAAGTTGTCAAAGCTTTCCTTTGAGCATATTGTCCATTGACCTCTGATCCACCGGAGTACCGTGACGGAGGTAAATATATATTTTCATTGACGATTTGCTTTGTTTCCATTTTCTTGACAAATTTTGAGATAAAGTTTTTGTGTCGATTTGATGTTGTTGATGAAATTTTATTTTAAACCAACTAGTAATTGTTCGATTTATATTCTTCGTAGGTATTGCGGATCCTCACTTCGAAAAGTTATTCACTGCCTTCAACACTGGTGCTCCAAGTGCACTACTGAGCTATATTTCTAATTAGTTGGTGTGAACATTGTTGTTTTAGTTAATATGACCTGAATAACATTAGCTTGAAATGATGTTTTGGAATTGTATGTGTGGCAAGTCCTTTTTGTTGGTGAGAGTCATATGCCTGAAATGATGATATGTTCACTGTACTAATGATTCGATTAAGTAGATGCATCACAGTTTCACATATACGAGTTTTGAAGACTTGGTATAAAGTCATCACTCGTATTATGTGAGTAGTGTTCATTTACATGAGTGTTGTCCATTTTCAAATTCGATACTTTTCTTTCAAAAGCATTGGGTGCAAGCACTCGGTGATCTTTCTAATGTGAGAGTGCTTCAGGATTCAATAATGAGACTATACTCTAAGAGCAACAGATCCATGTCCCTAAATATTTCGAGCATAGTGATTATGACCCTTTGGTGTAACACATTAGGCTCTAAAATATAAATTTTATTCATGGGTGAGCCTAAACAGTTGGTAAGTTTGCTTACAACTTAAAAGTGTTGTTTCACTACAACATTTTTTTAAGTTGTTCTCAAACTCCTATATAAAATATAAAGTAGTTACAAAAACTTTTCTATGCCTATTACATACAAAAAGTTATATTCTGGGATCATTTAGTTCATTTCCTCAATGGTTGTTATGAGCTCTTCCACACCTTCTACGTCATTTGGTTCAATTAAGATATCAACTCTGTTCTTGATCAACTCTCGATCAATTTTCAAGTTTATAGGGATGGAACCAGCTCTTGACATAGCAGTCTTACAAATGTGAGGAATTTTGTAGTTGTTTCCACGATAACAGACTATTATTTCCCTAAGACATGTCTGCAAACTGAGAAAAATGTTATTTAAAGTTGTATCAGACAATTCCTTAAATGGTTTTGTAACGGCTGCCACCAATTTCTCTACACTTCTTGATGTGGTTGAAACATGCAATGAATGTAGAGCTCAAAACCACCCTAAACCGTTTATGTTTGTATCAGGACTATTTGGTGGCTGAAATGTAAGATGGATGTCAAATCCATCGCTACTTGCAGCCCTCCGCAAGTCTAGGTCACTATCATCAATGTGTGGTTTCGCATTATCTTGATGTATTATAATATTCTTGCTTGTTGTTGGCGGCCACTTCGCTTTAAGTGTTGGTATTAGTTGCATAATTATTTTTGTAAGATGAAAAGCACATTTGTAAGCACATTTACACATAACTTTGACATACCTTATTGATGATGAGCGCTTTGGTGACTTCTTTTGTGATTCATTCCAAAAGCATTGTTTCCATTGTGCCAGCCCGTCGGCTCTTGAAATTATCTTTGCTAGAACTTGTGTTGTAAATGGAAAAACACCAATTTTCCTATCAAATAAACACTCACCATTTTCTCCATAAATGAGTTTACTCACAGCACAACGGAATATTACTTTTTAAATGAACCTTTGCTTAGCAATCCCTATATGGTTTTACCTCTTCTGGTGTGAGATAATATTTTTCAGTGTTTCGTGAAATGTAAAATAATTTCTCATGTATGTGTACAATATTTGACATGCACTTAAATCTAATTACATTCAAATATGTCCACACTTGAACAGAATTGAGACTAATTTTAGTCTACTAATTTTGTTCGACTCGGGTAGATATGGCTTTATTGCATTGCTGTGATGCTTGATCAGGCCCTTTTGGGTCCACCTTCCAACTGTTAACTTGCTAACACACATTTTCTTAATTTGTAATAATTGTGACAAAATCAAATTCAGCCTATTTATTAATTTTTTTTAGCATTGTTCGGACTGGTTGGAACTATTAGACTTTTAGTTAAGTTTATTTCAGGTTTGTATAATCATTAAGATCAAAGTCATTCAGGGTATATAAGTCATTTTATATCAATTTGTACTATACACAAATATAATACTAATATATAAAAAATTTTGTATCAAAAGTAAATGGTGTTGTGTATATAGGAGGAAAAGAGTATTCAACTTTTTATTATTTTTAAAAAATTTCAAAGCTAAATTTTTTATATCAACTAAGCTTTAATCTTTTAACTTCATACAACAAACATAATTTTCAAAAAGTCGAGAAATTGAGAACACCAGAAATTATATGTAATTAATTATTAATAATTTTGTGATGATTGATTCTCATGTCGCACTTACTATAAGGTTGTGTTTGGTATAGATAAATGAGGTAAGTGAAATGGAAATGGTATCATTTCTTTTGTTTGTTTGAGTCAAGAAATAAAACTTGAGAAATAAATTATTTTCATTTCTCTCCTATATGCAAAGAAATAGAGAGAAATGATGTTGTAGTATATATATTTTTTAATTTTTTAAATTTTTTTGTACTATTTAATTTTTATAATTTTTTAAAAATTATATTATTTTAATTTTACAAAAAACAAACTTAATTTATTTTTAAAGTATTTAATTTTTACGATCTTTTAAGAAATTGTAATAAAATATAATCTTAAAAAATATCGTATATAATTTATAACTTTTTTTAAAAAAATTTACCAAAAATATTTTTGATGAATTCTCATTCGTTAAAACTCTCTTTTTTATTCGGTTAATCATTTATTCTTATTTGATTATTCATATATCTATATTTTTTATATATATATTTATCAACTGAATTCTCTGTTTGATTATTCATATATCTATATATTTTTTTATATATATCTAAAATTAATTCTCATTGTCTATTCAATTCTATTTCTCTCCAATTTCATTATCTACTCTCATATCCAATTCCATTCTCTGTACCAAACGCCGCCTAATACGTTAATTGACGTATTGATAAAAATAAAATAACTACAATAGTAATAAGCACATAAGTCAATGATAAGCAATTAAAAATATATATATTAAAGCTCATCTTATAATAAAATTATATATTTTTTTTATGAATATTAAAATTTGTTTAGTGTTTGGATGGATGCATTTTTATGTCATATATAAAAATTTGTGTGAATAATATAAAAATTAATATTTTATATTAAATTATTGATTTTTTTTTTATGAATGAATAAAAAAATATTTATATTATATATTTGGCTAGTATATGCATATTGTATTTTTTAATTATATTTATAGAGAATTGCACTACTAAAAAATACTATATTAAGTAAACAAACCAATGAAGAAGAAAATTATAAAGGGAAAAAAAGGAATGGAGAGGGAAAAAAAAACACAATAATTGCGAGTGTGTCTGTTTTGTGTTTTTTAATATAATATATATATATATATATAAATTTTGATTGAATTATTAACTTTTTGTGAGGTGATAAATTATATTTCCTCGGTTTAAGAGTAAGTTTTTCATTTACTTTTTATATATCAATATTTGAATGTTAATTATTATATTAAAATGTGGTATAAATAAAGAAAAAATGACAAAAATACTTATATTAGTGTTTTATAATACTAATATAATGATATTTATACAAAAAAAAATTATAGAATTATAAAGATATTTTCATTGTTAAAAACAGTAACGCCAAATATAATTGAAGAATTTACTAACGGACGGAGGTAATATATATATATATATATATTATGTTAACATATATATTTTTATAATACTCATGGAAATTTATATTATCAAAAAACACAAGGTAACAATGGCATAATAATGAAAAAAAGAAGAAAAAAAAGAGCCATGTCATTTGTAACCACCAAATAATAATGTGGAATTAGATCATTCTTTTTTTTTTTTTTTTTATAAAGATGTTTTTATTATTTGTTATGTTTAAGTATTAAATTCGATACATATTTTTCATTAAAAAAATATAAAATTATATTCTTACATAAAAGTATCCAAAAAAAATAAAATAAAATCTCACACACACATCAACAAATATAGTTTATAGATAGTCAATGGTTTATTTTTTAAAATTATAATGAAAATAAATAGAATTATATAAGTCTCTCAAACTTTGCGAAGGGCTAATAAATCAATTTGATAAGTATTGAATTAAATATTTGTCATTATCATCATGTGGTAAAGTCATACACACTTAACCAAAACATGCAAACATTTGACAAATATCTTCATTTATTTTAATTATTTTTTTCTTGATTTTGCAAAAATTGTTATAAGTCAATGTTTACTGTGGATATTATTTTATTGTCCTTAATTCATCCCAAAAACTTTTCAGTATCTTGTAAAGCTATCCTTATTAAAAAAAAAAATGAAAATTTAAATTTACATCTGATAATAGTCAACAAGATGATCATATCATACCCTAATCTCAAATTTAATAGTATTACATTAAAGCAGGGAATTATAATTTGAATCGACACAAAGGATATAAGTAAAGATAATTGCTTATAAATTGACCAATTCTCATTTGGTATGCATGTTGTAATTTAATTAATTATTGTTCACATTACTATTCCTCGTTTTATCCAAATGAATTTAACACAGATAATTGTGTATATGAAAAAATGATTGCTATATTTCAAAACTAAATTTATGCTAAAAAAATATTTTTTATTTATATTTTATTATAGGTAAAAAATATTATATATATATTTAAGGGTCTTAAGTTTTATTTCGCCTCAGGCCTTCGAAAGTTAGGAATGGCCTTAGTGTGTTTAGTTGGTGGTTAGTATTATTATTACTATTATTATTATTATTATTATTATTATTATTATTATTATTGTTTTGACTTTTGTTAATTTGAATGATGATTTGGATACAATAGTATTGTGAAAAAAGAAAAAAAAATTATTTTATACATAGAATTAAGTATAAGGGTTAGAATAGTAAATACATATGTCGCTACAAGAAAATATCATTTTTGTAACGAGATGTTTTCGTATTTAAATTCACTTTTTCCGTTACTAATGATAGTAGAGACGGAATTAATGATGGAATTACGTTAGCTACGTGATCTTTAGGGACGAAATTCTGTTACAAATATACTATTTTTTTGTAGTGTTTGTTGAACCTTTGATAATTATGGCTTCAATATGTGAATCCAATTTCAATAGGCGCGATGAATTGGAACAGCTAGCAGGAGTGTGGGTCAGATTTCAATTTTTAAAAGATAATTAAAAGAGAGCTAAAAAAGACATGTCTACATGATCAGATGACAACGTTGGAATGAGCCTAAAGGAATCTCCAACTTCAACTATCGAATTAATAAATAAACCTATACATATATAGCTTATTGAATTAAATTAAATTAAATTGAATATTCTCTTGGTTATGCAATATTGGAGTTGTCCTTTCGAATATCAACTGTCCGTACTCGTCTTCTCCAATTTCGGGATCCTTTGGTATATACGATAAGGCCAACCCTGATTCAATTAATTATTAAGTAATTCCCCATTTTGCAGATACGCGGCGGCGGCGATATCATGATGTTACTATACATCCAAGTATTTCATTTCATTTCATTACAAAAAATATGATGTAATCGGCAGCCATTGGAGAGCCCCACTGGCTGCAGCAATGGCTATATATATATAATCTTCCATCTCAGTTCAATTCAACAGTACAGTTGAATTAATTAGATCTTCGATCGAGGATATCCAATCCTAGAATATAATTTACCAAGTACAGTATATACAGTACAGCAATGGAAGGGTCGCCGGGAAGCTCGATGCACGGGGTGACGGGGAGGGAGCCGGTGCTGGCGTTCTCGGTGGCGTCGCCGGCTGTGCCGAGCGACGCGGCGGCGACGGCGAAGTTCGCGCTGCCGGTGGACTCGGAGCACAAGGCGAAGAAGTTCAAGATCCTGTCGCTGGCGAACCCCCACATGCGCACCTTCCACCTCTCCTGGATCTCCTTCTTCACCTGCTTCGTCTCCACCTTCGCGGCGGCGCCGCTGGTCCCCATCATCCGCGACAACCTCAACCTGAAGAAGGGCGACATCGGCAACGCCGGAGTGGCCTCCGTCTCCGGCAGCATCTTCTCCAGGCTGGTCATGGGCGCCGTCTGCGACCTCCTCGGCCCCCGCTACGGCTGCGCCTTCCTCATCATGCTCTCCGCCCCCACCGTCTTCTGCATGTCCTTCGTCTCCTCCGCCGGCGGCTATGTCGCCGTCCGCTTCATGATCGGCTTCTCGCTGGCCACCTTCGTCTCCTGCCAGTACTGGATGAGCACCATGTTCAACAGCAAGATCATCGGCCTCGTCAACGGCACCGCCGCCGGCTGGGGGAACATGGGCGGCGGCGCCACCCAGCTCATCATGCCGCTGCTCTACGACGTCATCCGGAAGGCGGGGGCGACGCCGTTCACGGCTTGGCGGATCGCGTTCTTCATCCCCGGGTGGTGCCACGTCATCATGGGGATTCTGGTGATGACTCTGGGGCAGGACCTCCCCGACGGCAACCTCAGCGCCCTCCAGAAGACCGGCGAGGTCGCCAAGGACAAGTTCGGGAGGGTCATGTGGTACGCCGTCACCAATTACCGCACCTGGATCTTCGTCCTCCTCTACGGCTACTCCATGGGAGTCGAGCTCTCCACCGACAACGTCATCGCAGAGTACTTCTACGACAGGTGATTCAATTATATTTATTAATTAGTTATTTACTAATTATTTTAATTACGATAATTATTAAATGGATATATATCTGTTTCTACGGCAGATTCGACCTGAACCTGAAGACGGCGGGGACGATCGCGGCGACGTTCGGGATGGCGAACCTACTGGCCCGGCCGTTCGGCGGGTTCGCGTCGGACTATTCGGCCCGGAAGTTCGGGATGCGGGGCAGGCTCTGGACGCTGTGGACGCTCCAGACACTGGGCGGGTTGTTCTGCCTGCTGCTGGGTCGGGCCAACACCCTGCCCGTGGCGGTGACCCACATGATAATATTTTCGGTGGGGGCGCAGGCGGCGTGCGGGGCGACGTTCGGGATCATCCCCTTCGTGTCGCGGCGGTCGCTGGGGGTGATATCCGGGATGACCGGGGCGGGCGGGAACTTCGGGTCGGGTCTGACCCAGCTGCTGTTCTTCACGAGCTCCAAGTACTCGACGGCGACGGGGCTGAGCTACATGGGGATAATGATCATGGCGTGCACGCTGCCGGTGACGCTGGTGCACTTCCCGCAGTGGGGGAGCATGTTCCTGCCGGCCTCCAAGCACGTCGAGGAGGAGCAGTACTATGGCTCCGAGTACGACGACGACGAGAAGAAGAAGGGCATGCACCAGAACAGCCTCAAGTTCGCCGAGAACAGCCGCTCCGAGCGCGGCAGCCGCGTCGCCGCTGCGCCCTCGCCGCCGGGCCGCGTCTGATCGGATCCCTCATGGTGGCGCTGCGGCAGTGATATATATATATATATATATGTAACACTAAGAGAAGCCGTAATGTTTTTACATTATAACCGTCTTGTCCACAAATGCAACAATTTTTCTACCAATGATTATAAGGATAAAAATCAGTCTTGTTGTTAATTGACAATTAATATAATCATATAGTTTTCAAAATTGATATTTTTATGGCGTAGCTGCAATACGTAGATGTATTAACAAACCAAAAAAAAAAAAAAAAAAAAAAACAAGCACACAGTTCTATAGTAGGGAGTGGGGAATGCTTACCCTTCGAGCAATATTTATTATCAAATGTGCTGGTGTACAGAGGAGACGAGATTCAAACATTACCTAAAGGATCAATAGAGAATATGTCTGTACACATTAATCAACTATGGAAAGACACCGTGCTCACATATGAACACTCTAACAACATCATAATCAATCTAAATCACCTCATCATCAGAAAATATGAATAATACAACCAAACCAATGTAGTTGTAAGTTGTTGATCACATAGGTGCCTTCTAGAACCTCAAACACCAACAATTATGAGCAAAAAAATCGATAAGCTACAAATCATGCCAAGTACCTGTGGGAAGGAGAGAAGACGAAGAAGAATTAAAAAGGACAAATGTTATGAGTAACAATCAGTGAAGCGGAGTGAAGGAATAATCGATACGGAGATCAATTGAGGTGCGAACGAAACATTTGCGAAATGAAGTGATTCTAATAATCATAGTGATGGAGTGCTTTGTGTATGAATGGAAGATTGTGATAGCGGAGGCGATATGCACAGTGAGCGCAAGTAAGGTGAGTAAGTGTAGCAGCGGAGCTGATGTGTTGAAGAAGATTAGTCACAACTAAGTATACACATACATATATATATGTGTGTGTGTGAGCTCAGCCGACAAGTAAGAGATTGGGCCTAGCCCATAAACTAATATCTGAGGCCCAAGAGTGATAATAAGTTCCAATTTTAACACCCCACCTCACTCGAAGGGACGTCATTAACAACTTGAAATAAATCAAACAAGTTATTAAGCTTACATAGTCGAAAGAGAGACTTACTGTCGAGACTTTTTTGAGCAAGTTAGTGCATTGCTGATCAGAGGGAATGAAGTGTGTTGAAATGATAGGAGTCATCAATATAATCCCTTACCATGTAACAATCTACCTCAATATGTTTAGTTCTTTTATGAAAGACTGGGTTAGCAGCAATTTGTAAAGTAGTTGTGTTATCACAAAATAGTTCTACAGGACTGTTATGATTAACATGCAGATCATCAAGTATACCAAGCATCCAAACAATTTCAACACAAGTTTGGGCCATAACCCTGAACTTAGCCTCCGCAGATGACCGTGAGACTGTTAACTGTTTTTTGCTCTTGAAGGAAATTAATGAATTCCCAAGAAAGACACAGAACCCAGTTACTGATTTTTTGGAAATCAGACAAGCTACCCAATCTGAGTCATAGTAAGCTGCCAGGCACAAGTTACTTCCTTTAAAGAAGAGAAGTACTTGTCAAGGACATCCCTTTTAAATACCTTAGTACTTTAATAGCAACTTTCATATGTGAGTATTTTGGTTTATGCATAAACTGACTCAACACTTGGACACTAAAAACAATATCATGCCTAGGTAAAGTCAAATAGATCAATTTGCCTACTATTTTTTTTTTTTTTTTATATAGTCCCACATTTTTCGCTTAGGGATCAACCTTATTTTCTATGTTATTAATCTTCTGGTGTTGTTCCATAGTGATCAGGGAAGGTTTGCAGCCTAATAAACCAAATCCAGATATCAATTCAAAAGCATATTTCTGTTGAGAGAACATAATTCCTCTCTAACATCTAATCGCTTCAATTCCCAAGAAATAGTTAAGTGTTCCCAAATCTTAAAATTTTCATGCAAAAAACTCTTGATTTTATGATCTTTTCAACATTATAGGTAACAAGAATTTCATCTACATAAACCAAAGCTATAATAATCAAAATATGTTCAGCCTTAACAAATAAAGAGTAGTCAAGCAGAGACTGTTTGAAACCAAATTCAATTAACGCTGATTTAATTTTTCATTCAATTTTCTAGGAGTTTGTTTCAAACCATATAAAATTTTTTTTAGAAGACAATATTTGTTTTGAAATATTTCTGAATACCCTTCGGGATGAGTTATATAAACAGTTTCATAAAGATTACCATGAAAAAAAGCATTATTCATATCTAATTAAAACGTTTCCCAGTTAAAGTGAACAACAACATAAAGAACACATCTCACAATAGGCATTTTGACTACTGGGGAGAAAGTTTCATGAAAGTCTAAAATTTCTTTTTGACTGAAACCCTTAGCAACAAGTTTAGCTTTGTACCTCTCAACCGTACCATCAAAATTGTATTAATTTTAAACACCCATTTGCACTCAACAAGTTTCTATCCTTAGGCAAGTCACAACGGACCTAAGTTTTGTTATCAACCAGGGACTTCATTTCAAGATCCATAGCTTCTTTGTATTTGGGATCAAGAACAGCTTCCTAACACTTTAAGGTTCAACTAACTTGTCTAGATTAGCTAATAAAAAAAGTGTTTCATTGGGCAGATTTGTTGGGGAATGACACATACCACTCAAATGGATACTTAGCAGTAGCACTATCTATAGACACATGATAATCATGAAGATAAGAAGGTAGGCAACGCCTTATGCTCGACTGACGCCTATTGGAACAGGCCTCAAAGTTTACATCAGATGGTTCTGTTATAGTGACCGGGTCACAATACAAGTTTGTGTTGCCAACATCAGTGACACTCAGTTGCAGATTCAGGGAAGGGTTCTGCATTTCATCTGTGGGTGTCACCAAATGATTACCTTCACAAACCTCAAACGGATCATCATAGGCTCCAATTGGTAGCACATATTTACGAGTAAAATGAACATATGTTGTTGTAGTGGACTGGAAAGAAAACACAGACTCATGAAAGATAACGTGAGACAGACATAATAAAGGTTTCTAAATCTAGAATCTTATAACCTTTCTTAGTTTTAGCATAACCAACAAAACAACAATGTTTGGCTCTAGGGTGAAACTTATCAGATATGTTCAAATTGGTTGCATAATACAAGCAACCAAACACCTTCATTGTGTTTAGTTCAGGCTTTCACCCATAAACAATCTGGAAGGAGCTTCTTACCAATGAGAGGTGTTGGGAGTCTATTTATTATGCGAACAACTGTAAGGACACAATTCCCCCCAGAGATTTGTGGGACAGGAACTTTGAAACATAAGAGCTCTAGCAACATTCAAAATGTGCCTATGTTTACACTCAACAACTCCACTTTGCTTAGAAGTATAAGTACAAGAAGTTTGGTGCACTGTTCCAAATCTTTTAAAAAGATCAGTAAGAGATAAGTTCACAAATTTAAAGTGTGTTTCTTTAGGGCGGTTTGAGAAAATTTGGGTTTGGGTTTGATTTTTATTTGAATTTTGAGGTGAATTTGAATTTATGTGTTTCTTTCGTATTTAGGTTTGGGTTGAGTTTGGAGAGTTTTGATGTGTATTGATTTGATGGTTATGAATATAATAATATAAATGTGTATTAATTTGTATAATTTTATTATAAATTTATATTATACATATATAAATATTTCTAAATTTTTATTTATTTGTATTATAAAAAAATTTATTTTCTACAAAATGACATGCATATATTTTATTAAATTATAATTATTATAATTTTTTATATTTATAATTTAAAAAAAAAACTAAAAAAAATAAAAATGAAAAGGACGTTGTCAGGCGTGTCTCCCCAAACCCTAACAGCCCAGTTTTGGACTCCAAAACTGGTTGTTTGCACAGTAACTCAGCCCAAAATTGGGCTGGACAAACAGACCCTTAGTTCCAATGTCTAATCCAAATACCTTACACTTTTGTCAAATTGATTTTTAATCAAAGCAAGAAAATATTTCACATATGAAAAAACTTCAGACTTATTTTTTATCAAGAAGGCCCAAGTGGCACGATAAAAATCATCAACAAGAGTGAGAAAATATTTGAAACCCTCTTTGATTTCCACACGATAAGGACCCCAAATATCACTACGAATCAGCTCGAATAGAGCTTTTGACTTGTGAGAGCTGAGAGGAAAAGAAGTTCTAGTTTGTTTTGCCGCAAATATCACAATTTGACTTTGGCACGTTAGACAAACCCAGGTCTGCCTTAAGAAGGCTTGATACCTCATGAGATGGGTGTCCTAGTCGAAAATGCCACAAGGTAGAGCTGTCTTCTGCTCCCAACACCGGAGCAAAGGCGTTGCCCACAGTTGGACTGTAAGGTTTTATATCTGTACAGTCCTCCAATAAGTGTAGTTGAACCCAATACTTTTCCATCTAAAATATTTTGTATCACACAAGCATTTTTTAAAGAAATTTACAGCATCCTAAGGAGGTAAGTCTAATGACAAAGAGTAAGTTAAGATTGAACTTAGGAACAACCAACACGTTTTTTAGAACAATTTTGTCGCTCAAATGCATTTTTCCTATTTCAACAACAGTGGAAAATTTTCTATAGGAAGAGTAACACATATAGGACCACTTTCAACATATTTATCATCACTAAGTAAAGCTTTGTCAACTACCATTTGATCTATAGCTTCAGAGTCAACAATCCAATCACTACACATAACTAAGTTACATGACTGGGTAGAAAACATACCTGCCATGTTGAACTTAGGAGAGTTCGTGGCTTTTTTTTCATGCAGAAGCCTAATCAAATCATCACAAACATCAGGAGTTCGAAAAATTTTTGTGGAAGACATTGGAAGTTCATTATTTGCATGATCAGAGGAAGTATTATTAGCAGAAACAAAAGAAATTATGTTATTTTTAAAACTCTATTTTTTATCTAGGTATCATATCAATTGATAACACCTCTCAACTAAGTGACATATTCTACCATAGTGAGAACATTTAAAATTTTGATTTTAGCATTAGACTTAATTGGCCTTTTCATAACGAATACACCACTGTTTTTTGAAAAGACACTTTCACTGTCACAACAAAGAACCTATCATTTAGACCCATAAGAAATCAAGCCAACTGTTGAGTTTGTTCATATCTATCTAAAGAAGTTCTAACACTACAAACACAACGAT